ATCAGAGTATTATCAAAAACAGGAAGGGAAGAGTACTTGAGATATCAGTAAGGGTAGGCATTAGAGGAATAGGATACCGAAAAGACAGACAGAGAAAGAACCCCCCCCCAAAATTGTCTTTCTAAAATTCCCCTTCAGTCCTTGGCTAATTTCTGTGCTGCATATGAATACGGCACACTCTGGAGCTTTAGAAGACAACAGCTGCTGGAATATGGGCAAGTATTCTAGAAGTTGCACAGCCAGAGACATTGAGAATTGAACTCATAGAGAGACTTTTCCATTTAAATATCAGTTAAGCCATTTGCAGGGGTTATAGATAAACTCCTAAGATTAAGGCAAAACTAAAATGGACAAACTGTAACTTTAAAAACAAGCTTGAAAAAATAAAGGTGATCCACAAATAATTGAAGGCCTTTATAGCATCTTTTCTGCAATGTAGAGTATATAAAACAGAATCTCTTAACATACTAACAGGAAAAACTGACCTATAATCGAAAGTTAAAATAATCATAGAAGTAGATCATTAGATAATTCTAGATATTTATGCTAGCAAACAAAGATTTTAAAATAACTATGATTAATATGTTAAAGAAAATTGGAAAGAATGGACAATAGACAAAAAATTAATTATTTGAATAGATATTAAGAATAAAATGTATATTCTAGAATAGCAAAATGCACAATTTGCAATAAAGAGCTCATTAGGTGAAATTTTAAGCAGAAGTTAAGGTAAGTGAACTCAAAGATAGGTCTGTAGAAAACACACATTGAGGGGGGAAAAAGAATGAAATTGTTTTAATTTTAAAAATGGAATGGAACATAAAAGAGATGGGACATAGTTAAAAGGTGTAACATATATGTACTTGGAGTCCCAGGAAAGGAAGAGAGAATGAGAATGGTACAGAAGCACTACTTTAAAAAATAATGCTTGAGAATTTTCCATATATGAGAAAATGCAGCAATCCACAGTTTCTGGAAGCTCAGCAAGCCTATACAGGAGAAATACAAAGAAAACTATACCTAGGCATACGAATATTACATCTAAAGAAAAATCTCAAAAACAGCTATAGAACAATAACACAGTCAAGGGAAAAAACAATAAGAATGATGGCTGATTTCTCATAGACACAATGGTGGCCAGAGGACAATAGAATGAAACTTTTTAAATTCAAAAGTAAAAGAAAACTGTCAATATACAATTCAGTACCCAGCAAAAAATATCTTTAAAAAATAAGATGAGATGCTCTCTGCTGACCATGTTGCAATAATTGGTACCAGATTTCCTCTCGACCATAAACGTTTGAAATGCCAGACAAAATAAATAAAACAACTGTTTTTAGATCCTGGACAGTAGGCAGTGCAGGACTGTGATCTCTGAAAGAAGAGAAACAAATGAAACATTGCTCCAACAATCTGCCTGCAGGTACTTTGCAAACTGTGGTACAGGGAGGCTATCCAAAGTAACCCAAGTGCAGCATGGGAGTATTGTTGAGTTAAGAAGGCATAGGTTGGAATTTTGGGAAGAAGTTGCTCATATTTGTAAGGAAACAGTTTTGAGATGAGGAAGGTATTTTGAGGAATAGCATCAGATACCCACATTGGAATCCCTTTAAGGCTTTGGCTGAATACTAAGCTGTTTGTGTGTAGGAAAAATCCACGAGGTCAGGCATAAAACAACTGCCAGGGTACAGAAGCTGAGCACAATTGCTAGAATTCACACAAGGAAGGGAGATGTTAAAATTTTAACCTGCAAGAAGGGAAAGACCTCACTGAATTCCTGGAGCATTTAGTAGAGCCACCAGAAGAATGGCTAGTATTTGGTCTACGGCTACATTTGTAGTAAGCCTAAAATGACCATAGAAAAAGGTGACTCTAATCCCTAAATAAAAGAGTACACCAATAAACCTCAAAATTTCAAAAGAAATGGAATTGTTTGCCATAACAAAAATCAGCACTCTTTAAAGAAATTCAACAAAATAGAGACACTCAACAACAGTATCTAGTGTTAACAAAAATTTGCCAGATGTAACAAGAAACAGGGCAATGTGATCCATAACAAGGAAAATAATCCATTAAAAAGTTGCTGAAGTGACATAGGTGACAGAATTAGCAGATAAATGCTGTAGATAAATGCTCACAGACACACACATGCTCTATAGGTTCAAGATTTAAAGGTAAACATCAACATTAGGAAAGACATAGAAGTTACAAAAAGGAATCAGATGGAATTTCTAAAGAACAGAGTATCAGAAATGAAAAATATGCTGAATTGGGTTAGCAACAAAAATTAACAACTTTAGAAGATAAGGTTGGGAAACTTAAAAGACTGAGCAGTTGAAACTATACAAACTAAATGCAGAAAGAAAAACCAAGGGGAGAACATTTTGCAGAGCATCAATTATATGTGCGACAATATCAAGCAGTGTCCTGTCCTTGGTGCTCCTGGTTCTCAGGCTTTCATACTCAGACTGAAGTCCACACCATCGGCTCTCTGGCTCTCATGGCTTTGAACTGTGCCACTAGAGAAAGATAAAGTTTGACATACAAAAATGTGAACAGAGGAGTGTTACCCGGGAAGCAAAAGCAAAAGAGAAAGTTGGTGTAAAAGGACAGCTCTCTTTCACAGAATAGTTCCTGGCTCTCTTTCCATGTTTCTTGAAACTTGCTAGATTATCCAGAGAAAGAGAAATTGGACTTTGGCCATTTGAAGTCAGGGAGATAAAATCCTTGATGATCTGGGACACAGGATCTGATCCCAGTAGGTTGACAGAGAGCTATGCTGGGAGTCCATTTTACATACCTACTGTGAACTCAGCATTCCTTCGATGCTTCCTTAGATGAGGAAGGGAGGAAAAAATCTCTCACTCAGTATCCTGGCCTTTCAGATTTGTGTCATTTTTATCTTCTCGTCTTCTCCATTTCTTTTCCCCAAATCTCAGAGCAACAGAAAGACGCAGAAACTACCACAAAGCCCTTTACTGGGAGTCAGGATCAAATGATTGTTAAGAGTCTTTTTGGAAAGTCTGATGGCTGGATTCACATCTTAGCTCTACCACTAACAAGATATTTTCAAATAACTTGACCTCTCTTTCTCTGCAAATCGAGGATTAAATACCTCATGGGATTCTTGTGAGAATTATATGAGAAAATATTTTCAGAACATTAGGCATATACTCAATACTCATAAATGGAAGCAGCCTCTCTGATGATGGTGGTAGAGATATTAGTGGTATTGATGATGCTTTCTCTAAGCTCATCGCCTCTACTCGCATTTAGTACTATGACATAGCACTTAGTTGTGTAATTGAAGTACATAGTAATTAAAAGTAATAGGATATTGAGCTTTCTATATTTCTTTGAGAATTTGTAAGATTTCTACACGTTTTAATTGTGTTTAATTGTGTCTTTATATAAGAAATAGTGGATGATTTATTCCTTTTTGTAGAAGAGAACCAGATACTCCCTGACCCAGTGAAATATATGGAAAAAACATGTAAAAGAACACCAGAGTGAGAATCTGGAATTTTCATGAATTCTTACTAGACCTAGATTATTCTATGACCTACTGAGTTTATAATAGCAATAAAAGAAAATAAAAATAAAATAGAAACAGCCTAAATGTCCAACAACAGAAGAATGGACAAATACATTGTGGTATACTGTGGAATAATTAAAGGGATAAACTACAGCCGCGTGCATTATACTGTAAAAGCTTCACATTATAATACTGAACCAAAAAAGCAAGTTGCAAAAGGGCATGCCATGTGATAGTATGGAAAGTTTCAAAGTACATAAAATAATACAGTATATTATTTTTGTTATATGTATACTTATCATAATAGTATTTTTAAAATACAAATGGTGTATCTAACATCAGTAATGGTCACCTGTGGGAAGAGGGAGGAAAATGATTAAGGAGGTCCCACAGGCACTAAGCTGTAATGTTTGGTGGATACGTGAGTGTTCACCATGTAGTTCTATATATCTTTCCATATGGCTGAAATACTTCATAATTTCAGAAAAGAAGGATTCACTGACTAATTTGAGAACTCATACTTTTAAAGACACATGTCATTCTGTTTTTCAGACTAGATAGTGATGGTAAGTAACAGATAACAAATTAAGTGGATATATATCTGGAAAAATGTGCGTGTATCTTCTATGATGTATGACTTATACCTGAGACTAAGATGTAATTCACTAAGTAGAAAGTATTTGAATACTGTAAAGAATATAGCAAGATATTTCCAATATCATATTTTAAAAATTAGCCTAGAATTTATGTTCATAAACCTCAGAGTTCATTTTTTAAGAACACAAAATTCATTCTTTTAATGATTTTTTTTTTAAAGGAAAACTTTTTCATATGTGTTAAATCATAAAGCAGTAAAGACTTTGGTTTATTAGATAAATTAGGAATTATTGTTTACACTTGTTTTTTTAAAAAATTTGTTTTATTGATTGATTTTAGAGAGAGAGAAAGAAATACATTGATTCGTTGTTCCACTATTTATGCATTCATTGGTTGCTTCTTGTATGTACCCTGACCAGGGATTGAACCTGCAACCTTGGTGTATAATGTTGACACTGTAACCAACTGAGTTACTGGGCGAGGGCCTACATTTGTTTTTTAAGAATTATGATTGTTTTGGAAGGGACTGTTTGAAATTTTTTTCTCTGTGGAAAAATTTCTTCTTGGCTTAATGAACATTTTGAGTATTGTTTATCTGTTGTTGATTTAGAAAAAAAAGTGCTTCCTGAATAAATAGCTGGGCTTTGTGAATTTTAACTTAGTGAAATAGCTACATGACTGGTCATGATGAAGCTAGTATTTAAGGTGATTGCCATCAGGTGCTATTCATTCCAATATTATTTGAATATAAGTGTATTATGATGAAGAAAACCTTAAAGACATACCTAATTGAAAAATAAATGGTTTTAATTCTGTTGGAATTTCATCTTAATCCCTTAACATTATGATTTATATTCTTGTATTTCAGGGAAAGGTTGCTCAGACAGCATGCATGTCAGCTTGCAAGCATTTAGCCACGTCCCTGATGCAACTTCTGCTGGAAGCTGAAGTGAGGCAGCTCACCTTGGGAGCACTGCAGCAGTTCAATTTGGATGTCAGAGAATGCGAACGTAAGACAGTGAACCATGCCTTTGCTTGATTGTTTAGCCTGCATACTCATCTGTGGGGGAAAAAAAAAAATGGTCCTAAGTCTATTGGGTCTTTGCTCCTGATGAGGTCAAAGAGTAGCTAGATGACAGAAGTCCCTTATAAGATGTCTAGAAGTAGAGACTATCAGCAAGCTAGTTCGAGCACCCAAAAGTGCTTAGGTCCTTCTGTAGAAAACTGAAGATCCCTGGCCACACATAACTTTGCTGTCTAGAGGGGTATATAAGGCAGAGATGCATTTAATAGACACCAAAGAAACCCGATTAGTTCAGAGACTATAAAAGAGTCAGTTCCCAATGATTTCCTTTTTATGTTTTATTTTAAAACTATTTTTACATCATATTTGCAAACCCTTAGTCTGAAGGACAAATGCTGTGTAGTATTTATCAGTCAGAAATGCTTTCTAGTACAGGTAGAAACAGAAAACCTTAGACAGAGTGGTTAAAACAAATAGATTTTATTTTTTCTCAGAGTCAGTGAGTTACTGAATTGATTTAGTTGCTCAGTGATGTCACCAAGGACCCAAGGCTCTTTTGTTCCCTTTCCTCTCCCATACTTTTCCTCCTCATCTGCATTATTGTGAGAAGAGACAGGAAAAAGAGGCCAGTCTCACCTATTCCTTTTACTAAGAAAATAAAAACCTTTTTCAGGAGACCCCTAACAAACTTACCTGTGTCTCATTGGCCTGAAGACAGTTGTATCGTCATCTCCAATGCTAAGGGTGGCTGGGAGGCTGAGTATCTGTCAAAGTGAAAGGAAAGCATCATTATTGGCATAGTTGATTCATCATGAATCATTCACTTGATGTTGAACACAAAATTAGGCTTTGGTAGGAAGGAAGAAGGAAAGAATGGAGAATGTTGTGGTGTTCCTTGTGCAGTCAGTGAAAAATGAAAATGGACCAAAATGATATGATTCAAAGTGATTGTTCTGATTCTAAGAAAAATATCCTTTGGAAAATTTGTCACCAGAAGGTCTGTACCAGAGATCTACAGTGCGATTACATTGTTCAAAGATGTCAACAACAGTGTCTCCTTTCCCACATCTTTTTCTAGAACCTTAGCACTTCTTAATTCCCCTTCCTTTGAATCTGGGAAAGCTCATGACTTGTTTATATCCAACGGAATGTGGCAGAAGTGGCCTTGTGATTTCTGTTGCTAGGTCATGAAAGACAATGCAACTCCATCTTCTTAGGTAGCTTCTGGATAAGAAGTCTACCCTGAGGTCTCCATGCTGTGAGGAAACCGAAATCAGCTCATGTGGAGAGACCACATGGAGAAGCTCTGATGCCTGACATTTTACATTTTATGTTCTTGGTGCTATATTTTGTTATATTCCTTTAAATAGTATTAGATTTTGTTCTGACCTGCATTTACATTACTTGAAATTGGTTGGATCCTTTTGAGACTTGCTTTTAAGTTTATAGTGGGTCCAGAGCAGCCCTTTGAAGAATTTTACCCCACGCCGTGTCTGGAGATCTTTCAACTCTGGTTGGTGAGAACAGGAACTATCCCAGCTCCACAAGTTATTCTGCTTATTCATTTCTGGTCGTTCTTTCCCCAGCCTTGGGTAGTTTCTTCCCACACATGCACAGATGAGTACTCTGCCAAATATTCAGTTGCACACTTCTCTGGTTTTCCTGAGTGCTCTCTTTTAAATGTCTTTCTCTCTGGTAGTTGGCCCTGAAATCACTAATTGCCTTGGCATTCTGGACTGCAATCTCTGACTTTTCAGTTCAGACTACCTATGTTTTGTTTGGGTTCTCTCCCTTTGCTGGCTTTGCATCATAGCCTGGAAGCTGCCTCTAGGCATGCTCACCTCGTTTGTTTTCCTTCTTTCAAGGATCACAGTCCTGTATCGACTGTTGCCTAATATCTGAAACCATTCTTTCACATACTTTGTTCAGTTTCCAGTCTTTTTTTTTTTTAATATATCTTTATTGATTTCAGAGAGAGGAAGGGAGAGGGGGTAGAGAGATAGAAGCATCAATGATGGCAGAGTCATTGATCAGCTGCCTCCTGCACTCCCCACACTGGGGATGGAGCCCCAACCTGGGCATGTGCCCTGACTGGGAATTGAACTACAATCTCCTGGATCATAGGTTGATGCTCAACTGCTGAGCCATGCCCACCGGGCTAAATAAATTTTTTTTTTTGTTTTTAGCGGCATGTCTAGTTAATGTTCTAATTCATTGCATTGGAAACTTGGTTTACATGCTATAAACGGTATCAATGAATGCTATTTTTCTTCTTTAAAAAAAAGTATTAATGTTTTTCAATTACAGTTGACATACAATATTAGTTTCAGGTGTACAACATAGTGATTAGACATTTATATAACTTATAAAGTGGTTTCCCAGATAAGTCTAGTACCCAAACTAATGATTTTTCAACCAATTACCATATAAATAAGTCATTGGCCAATTTAATCACGAAGATAACTCTAATAATTGGGCCAATTTCCAGTTTATTTTTCTTTCTGCTTAATAATTAGACAAACTTTTGAATGGTTGGTGAATATGTAGCTTGGAACTCAGCTTGTAAATAGCTGATGCTATTGATCTTTTATATTNACTTTGTTCAGTTTCCAGTCTTTTTTTTTTTTAATATATCTTTATTGATTTCAGAGAGAGGAAGGGAGAGGGGGTAGAGAGATAGAAGCATCAATGATGGCAGAGTCATTGATCAGCTGCCTCCTGCACTCCCCACACTGGGGATGGAGCCCCAACCTGGGCATGTGCCCTGACTGGGAATTGAACTACAATCTCCTGGATCATAGGTTGATGCTCAACTGCTGAGCCACACCTGCCGGGCTTCCAGTCTTTTTTACAGTGGGAAGATGAGTCCTCTGTTACTCTATTATGACCTGTAATAGAATAAATGAACATCTTTTCAAGTGTGGTTTGTTTTTTTAAAATTTTATTTTTTATAGAAATAATACCTGCTCTTTGTGGAAAATTTTGAGGAAAAAAAGAAAAAAATCACCATAATCTCATCATTCAGAAATACAATTCTGGGGATTATATCCAGACGTGAGAATATGCAGCAGCCACAGAAGTGTTCTTAGGATTCATCCACCAGATTCCATCCATCTGGTTAGCCAAGAGGTTTTAGATGCCTCTGTCTTAAACCAGTTATTTACCAGGAGAATCAAAAACATATGATTAGCTAGACCAATCAAAATTGAATCTTGATGTTGAGTTTGAAGTCATTCTTTTCTGAGTTTTGATGAAAGAGTAGGACCTCATTCTGATGCAAAGGAAAGGAAGACAAGGACTTTGGAGTAGGCAGCCAACAAATACCGTTGGTTCAGCAGCAACATCTGATGACTGACTGGGAATGACTCCATGACTGCATTTTTGATAGAGCTAAAAGATAAAGAAAGACGGAGGGTAATAAAGCTAAGTATGTGGGCCTGGAAGAGGAGGAATGATGGTCTGGGAGAAGCACTAATGAGCAAGGAAAATACCCATCTTGTGGCCTGATTCTGAATTACATTTATGCAGACGAACCAGTAGCTTGTACTTGAGAAAACAATAGGTGAATTGGTATCCTTCAGTTAAGACTAAGGGCTGGAGAGATCATTTAATGAAAAGGTTGAAACATAATAGAGTTTGTTAACCTGCATATGGGGTTCCAGAAAGCCAGTCTCTTATCTGAAAAGCTATTCAGTATTTGTAAAAGCCTTTCAGACTTAGGGTCCGCTTGAAGCTAGCATTTGTAATGCATGACAGTGCCTCCAAAAACCATATTACCACTGAATTTTTTCTAATGTATTGTGGAGCCACTAAGTTTCATTGATTTAGAATTTAATGTTTCATTTCTGATTGGCAGTAATTTGTCTGTCAAGAAACTTTCCATGGACATTTATTTTACTTTAAAAGAAAGAATTCTATTCTATGTCTTTTGCTATACCACCTCCCTCTTTTTTTTTCCTTTAGATGCTCAGTGGTCTATAAAAAATCTTAAAGAAATGATACATAAGACTCAAGTAACTATACAGAGGCGTATAAAAGCAGCCCCAAATGACAAGATAATTAACACTTACATCTTTTACCCAGTGGTGTGTGTGTGAAGTATTTTCCCTATTGTCTATGAGTCCTTGGAAGAACTGTATAGGCCCTGAAAGGAATCAAACTCTGGACAAGATAGAATGTGAATGTACATTGAGTGTTTGACTCTGGGGCCTAGGCTGCCACTTTCTTAGATGCCACATACATAGGAGAAGTATGTGCATTACCATGTGCCTGAGATATTCAGCTAGTATACTGTGTCATTAAGAACATAGATTTAGAGTCAGCTTGACAGATTCAGGTCACCACTTAACGTTTAGTGTGACCTCATGTATACCATTTAACCTTTCACAGCCAGCCCCATTTATGGTGGGAATAATAATAGTACCTAATATTACAGGGATTGGGTCAGAAGTCAATGAGAATGCATGAAGGGGTTTATTTCATGGTTTGACAAAACACTGAATATGCAGGAAAGTAGTAGCTTCTCTTACTGTTATCACCATTATCATCATAATCATGAGCAGCAGCAGCAACAACAGAAGTTAATAAATATTTAACAATTCTCAGAAGGTCTTTTGCCGACCACTCAAATCTTTGTCTATAGTTTTTGAATTAGTTAGATTTGGAGATGCCCTTTTATTTGGTGTAGCTGTCTGTCAAATTTCTGTGGTTGTTCTGAAAGGTACGATGCAGAACTGATGATTTTCTAATTCTCAGCCTGTTGCTTTTGCAAGAAATTAAGCAATTACCTCTACTGTTTACTAGAGATGGTAACTACTGCTTAGGGCACCATTACCTGACAGGAGTGTTGTTGCGAGGCAATTCTTACTGACAGTCTACCAAGCCTTTAAGATGGACATAATTAGAAATTTAGATAAGAAGAAGATATTTCTTTCCCTTAAAAATTGACAGTGACCTCTGATAATTTCTGCTTTGCCTGGATTTCAT